TATTCTGTATTTTTCAAAAAGCTATCTTGAAAATAGCAAGTAGGTACTTTATTTGCAAAAAAAACCACCTGAAAAATAAGAGAAAACAAATCAAAGTGTCGAGCATGACACGTGACAAAAAAGTTTTTTCGAGATAACTGAAACCCGCAAAATCAGGAGAAAAACTTTTGCTTTTTAAGACAAGATGTCGAACAAGAGTATGAAAAATGGCAGTGTTGACGCGAAAATTGCAATCAAGCAAAGGAGGAGAAGAAATCTTTCGAAACATAACGATTATGCGGCTACAATCATTACCGAACTTATTTCACAAGTTGGAAAAGCTGGGGTTGAGAAAAACAGACCTTCCTGGTGGCGAGGAAGACGCTTCTTCAAGACAGACCAAAATTTTGAAAAGGTCTCTTGTGGGACTGCAAAAATGTATCGTTTTAACTTTAATTTCTTCCGATATAATTTCGAATTTTGTAAAAAAAAAAATTCAATTTTTTCTGAAGAGCTACGAGTTAGGAAAGGGTCTATCCATCTCCGAAGGAGGAAGTATTTTTTCTGCTAAAAAAAAACAATCGTAATAATATCATAATCTATAGCCTTGCCCTGGTTTTAGGAAGGACCTTTGACCTATGGATATTGAGACCGAGCCATGAGCTCACTGATATTGCATGTAACTAGTTAATTTTCATAGATTACGTTCGTTCACTCAATCTTACGAAAAACCACTTTCAATTGGTCCAAACGTTCGTTGACTCAGTCTTTTTAAAGACTACTTTCAAATCGTTTTGGTAGATTTGGTTGAAAAAATTTTGAATCTTGACGCTAGCTACTTTTAGGAAGCTGAAGTTTTACTTTCAGTCGTTTTTTCAATTCCCGGGCGGAAAATATATATATGCGTTTTTGTCGCTCTCTTGGGTGTTTTTCGTAATTTGATGACCGGGTTAAGGCCCTAAATCGGCAGTAGGAGGGTTGGCCCGAAATGCGAAATCCTTCCGGAAACCCTGATTTAGCTTTTTGAACCACTTAGGACCAAAAAATCCCGTTTTATGAAAGATAGAGGAATAGTTGTCGTAACCAGATATAAAAAACCAAGCAAAAACCATGAAACAAACTTCTACCATGAAACAAAAAGACCAAAACAAACAAAAAGAGAAAACATAAAAGTCAGTAATGAAAACTCTTCCTGACGATATGGGAATCAATGTTCCTGTTTGCTGTTGTTTTATATTTTTATTGTAACGATCAGCAGTAGTGGTCTCCTTTTACCTGTACTGTTGAATTATTTGAGTATTTAGACTCGTAAATAGTAATTTTCAATCAAACCGGATGGGTCGAGTGACTGAATAGAATGACATATCCAGCAGTGCAAGGAGAAGCAGGAAGGGTCAAAAAGACAACAACAATCAGTTTTTGGGAGTCGTTAACCAATTTTGTATCATTTGGGGCATAGTAAGTACGATATCAGATAGTGAGGGGATGCAACCGAAAAAATATTTCACTTTGTTGCAAATTTTTGAGTTATCCAGATATCGAACGGAACCGGAGGTGTATAACAATATCAACACTAACCAACAGTTTAAAGATCATTTTTAAAGTCAAAATAAGGATATTCTGACTCCCTCCCCCAGGAAACGCAAGTTTTCAGATATCTCTAATTTTAACACCGGTAAAAAGCGCTAATGTAGCAATAGACATATCGTAAGGTGACTAACACAACTGCATGAAACCAATAAAAATAAACCCCAATATCGTGTGAAGAAAACAAGTGTCGTGATCTGATTTTCAAAATTTTTGAGACCCAAAACGACGCCCAGGAAAAAAAATCAAATTTTTTCTGTTTTTGCAATAAAAGTTACTGATATTGTAATGTCTATTGGTGAATCGTCTAACGTTTTTACCCGTTTAATAGCAACCTTTCAGGTCCTCAAGAAATTGATCAGTCTGTTCTAGAGAATTCAACGATCCACAAGTGTTCAAATTGAATTGTTTTTGGTCAAATTTGTCTTTGGGATTTTTGAGCTCAACTAGTAAAGCTTTCTGAAATCAAAACAAATGTTTCTAAGCCATGATAGTTGAATAACCCAGATAGTTTGAAATTTATCCTGAAAAGTTGAACGTTTTGAATTCAATAGGCTAAAATCAATGCAAAAATCATGCAAAAATTTCAGCTCAAATGCTTTCTTCTGACGGTCAAGCAAGCGACTGCATCTCAGATCTCATTCAATTTTTAATAATCAGCAATCCACGGTTGTGCAAAGCAAACATAATAAATCAACCTTTTTGGACACTTTAATTGATGGCACTTGTTTGCAAACGGACTAGAGAGAAAACAACCAGGCTTCGATTATAGGTTTAATCAAAAATGAGATGACTTTAGTGGGTAAAAAATGCCAAATTGTGATTGTTTTTGAGAAAAAAAGTAGCCAAACGACCTAAAAAAAACTGTAGAAAAGGTTCCATTACAATGTGTACTCTTTCTAAATTTCAATTCTGGTCCTGGTAATCCCTGTAATCTTCTGGTTATCTACTTATTCTTCTGGCATGTGCTATCTAGGCTGATTTTGGATCTGACACAAATATTATGCCAGCTTTTTTTTCTCCGTTCTCTGTTAAGTACCACATTTATTCCATCAATCTTTATTTATTAATTAATTGTGCATAGCAAAAATTTTTCATATATTGGGCTTAGTTATAACGCATTCAGTCAAAATAGTCCTAATTTCAACTTTCCTCGGAACTAAAAAAAACTTTAAATATTTCAGAAGAAAAATTGTTTAACAGTAATTTGATGCGTCACAACCATGAAAACACTCAAAACAGATTTCTATATCCTTTCCTACGATATATCATTTTTGTCAAAATTGAATCGTACTAGACGTATTATCTTTAGAGGCAATGAGGCTATTCAAGAAAAAATCTGGGCTTTAGATCTTTAATTGTTTACCCTGACTGTTCTGACCACTCTTGTACCACAAAAAATACATACCAATTGGTCGCAGTTTGATTCCAAAAACCTCAACATGATGAAATAGTGTCCTCATTTACAGAATGTCAATCGAAATCATTCGAGAAAAAAACAATGCAATTAAACCTGTATTTGGACTCCCTCCCCCAGGAAACGCAAGTTTTCAGATATCTCTAATTTTAACACCGGTAAAAAGCGCTAATGTAGCAATAGACATATCGTAAGGTGACTAACACAACTGCATGAAACCAATAAAAATAAACCCCAATATCGTGTGAAGAAAACAAGTGTCGTGATCTGATTTTCAAAATTTTTGAGACCCAAAACGACGCCCAGGAAAAAAAATCAAATTTTTTCTGTTTTTGCAATAAAAGTTACTGATATTGTAATGTCTATTGGTGAATCGTCTAACGTTTTTACCCGTTTAATAGCAACCTTTCAGGTCCTCAAGAAATTGATCAGTCTGTTCTAGAGAATTCAATGATCCACAAGTGTTCAAATTGAATTGTTTTTGGTCAAATTTGTCTTTGGGATTTTTGAGCTCAACTAGTAAAGCTTTCTGAAATCAAAACAAATGTTTCTAAGCCATGATAGTTGAATAACCCAGATAGTTTGAAATTTATCCTGAAAAGTTGAACGTTTTGAATTCAATAGGCTAAAATCAATGCAAAAATCATGCAAAAATTTCAGCTCAAATGCTTTCTTCTGACGGTCAAGCAAGCGACTGCATCTCAGATCTCATTCAATTTTTAATAATCAGCAATCCACGGTTGTGCAAAGCAAACATAATAAATCAACCTTTTTGGACACTTTAATTGATGGCACTTGTTTGCAAACGGACTAGAGAGAAAACAACCAGGCTTCGATTATAGGTTTAATCAAAAATGAGATGACTTTAGTGGGTAAAAAATGCCAAATTGTGATTGTTTTTGAGAAAAAAAGTAGCCAAACGACCTAAAAAAAACTGTAGAAAAGGTTCCATTACAATGTGTACTCTTTCTAAATTTCAATTCTGGTCCTGGTAATCCCTGTAATCTTCTGGTTATCTACTTATTCTTCTGGCATGTGCTATCTAGGCTGATTTTGGATCTGACACAAATATTATGCCAGCTTTTTTTTCTCCGTTCTCTGTTAAGTACCACATTTATTCCATCAATCTTTATTTATTAATTAATTGTGCATAGCAAAAATTTTTCATATATTGGGCTTAGTTATAACGCATTCAGTCAAAATAGTCCTAATTTCAACTTTCCTCGGAACTAAAAAAAACTTTAAATATTTCAGAAGAAAAATTGTTTAACAGTAATTTGATGCGTCACAACCATGAAAACACTCAAAACAGATTTCTATATCCTTTCCTACGATATATCATTTTTGTCAAAATTGAATCGTACTAGACGTATTATCTTTAGAGGCAATGAGGCTATTCAAGAAAAAATCTGGGCTTTAGATCTTTAATTGTTTACCCTGACTGTTCTGACCACTCTTGTACCACAAAAAATACATACCAATTGGTCGCAGTTTGATTCCAAAAACCTCAACATGATGAAATAGTGTCCTCATTTACAGAATGTCAATCGAAATCATTCGAGAAAAAAACAATGCAATTAAACCTGTATTTGGAGCATTATATGATACCTGTACAGCAGCAAATGGCTGTTCTTCAAAAAATTTAAAATTCTAGATTTGAATGGTATAGAAATAATTCAGATATAGGGTTTCGAAAGCGCGTTTTAA